CTCCCGTTGCCGGATTCGAGGAGCAGCAGATGCGTGCTGGGCTCTCAGCCTGGCACATACATTTACTAAATTGATGTATGTCCGTACATACGCTCGCAGTCAGCGGCGCTGCTCGGAAATAAACTGCGGGAGCGGAGCCGCGTAAATCTTCCCGAGATGGGGAACGGAGGAATTCAGAATTAAAACTGAAACCTGGCTTCCACCCGCTCCCCCAATAACAGGCTCTTTAAACCGAAATTGATCTCTCTCATTGGTATGCGGCGGGGCTGCTCCCCGCTCCCAGCTCCTGCCCTTTGTTCTGGCAGCGCCGGGAGAAGGAGCCGCCGCTGGGGTTTCGCATGGAAATGCCGAAGCAGCCGGGTCTGGGCAGGGAGACCACCCAGCTCCTGGGCTCTGCGGCCTCCCAGCCGCCTCTCGGGCCCAGGGCTGCTCTCCTGGGTTTTGCTTTAGGATGGCTGCAGTCGAAATATTCCTGCGGCAGCCGCGGAGGGGGCTTGTGAAGCTTGGGGTGGTGTCGGGCGTTATGGGAAGCGTCATCCCTTCAAACCCCCCCTGCCCAGGCAGATCCCGTGCCCAGCTGGCTGGTCACTGCCTGGACCTGTCCGGGGCTGCGGTTCTGAGGTGCTTCCAGCATCCAGTCGTGTTTGTCCTCCAGTTCCAAGGGTGGTCTCACACCAGCGCTTAATTAAAAACACAGGCACAGCAGGAGCTTCCCTGGAGGCACTTTAAGTGGTTTGAAACTTCCCTGCATGTTAATCCCTGCTCCTTTGTGATTCCCAGAGCAACATCTCTGCGTGAAGAGGGCAGGTAAATGGTTACTGCACCTACCGCAAGCAAAGCCCCCAGGAAATCTGGGAAGGGCAGAGGGGCTGGAGCCTCATCCTGCTCTAAAACACCCCCAAGCAGAGGGTCTGGAGCCTCATCCTGCTCTCAACCATCCCCAGGTGCCCGGATTTACCCTTTTGCTGCAGTTTTCCCTGCCCTGAGAGGACTCACAGTGCGGCAGGAGGGGGTTTAGGGGAGATGCCAGGATGGACTTTCAGCCAGCAAAGGGGAGCGTGGGGATGGATGGTGAAGGGAGGGAGAACAGGCTGGACAAACAGCTGTCAGGGCTGATTTAGGGACAGTTTCTCCTGCCCGGCCGGGAGGAGGGACCGGGTGATTTGGTGCCGCATCCTGCCATCCGTGTCTCGCTCCTCCGCTGCTCCCTGCACCATCTTCTCCCAGCTCTTCTCTCCCTCCAGTTCTTGGAAGGGGACAGGTTTAGCTCAGTTTAGCTGTCCCCCCACCTTGTTGTCACCCTGCAGCCCCAACAAGTCATTAACTGGTTCAACTGGGGCACGTGGCACTGCTGGATCCCAGGGTGGTGGCAAGTCGCCAGGTTCAGGCATATGGTTGGGTTTTATTTTAATGGGGCGCTCATAGATATTTAATAACTCGCATGGCTCTTTGTTTGCTTTTGATAATCGGGTAATAAAATAATTCAGGCTGATTTATACAATGCTTTACAGCTCTTCTGTGAATGAAAGTGCCTCCTGTAACTCGCAGGCATTTGGCTTTGGTACCTGTCCTCCTTAGCAGAGCCCTTTTATTAAAAAAAGAAAATGTAAAAAAAAAGCCATGGAAAACTCGTGTGTGTTACTGAGAACCCACAAAGTGGTGCCATCTGGGGCTGACTGTCGTTCCTGGGCCTCTGTCTCTGTTTGGCCGGGGCCGGCGCGGCACCGCTCTGCTGCCTCGGGCTCCCAGATGCTGCTCCACTACAAATAAATAATAATAATTTGGCAAGAGCTCGGAGCTGGAGCTCTTCCTCTGGGAGCAGCCGAATGTTTCGCAAACAATATGAGCTAATTGTCCTTTCAATCCGTGGCTGCTTTTCCCGCAGAGCGCCGGAGCCCTGGACATGTCCCTGCCCTCCACTCCCGAGATCAAGATCAAGGAGGAGGAGCCGGTGGAGGTGGACTCGTCCCCCCCAGACAGCCCCGTGTCCCACCCACGGTCACCCCAGCACAAGGAGAAGGTGAGGCTCCCCAGCACGAGGTGGTGGTGCCCCTTTTCCAGGTGGGAAGCTGTTTCTCCAGATGGCTGCCCAGGCCTGATTTGTGCTCTCTGAGGCCTGATTTCCCTCGTTTGAGACAGAAACGGTTCACTAAAATGCACCGTTGCTGCCCTGGAGGCTCCCAGTGGGTTTGGCTGATGCACAAAGCCTTGCTCTTCCCTGTGTCCTGGGGGGTGGGGATTTGGAGCAGGTTGGTCCAGGTGACACTTTCACCACCTGAATAAGGTGAGGATTTGGAGGGGGGGATTATCTGGAGTGTAAATTCCTGTGCCCCACTCCTTGCACTGACACCAGATACGGGTGTCTTTGGGAGAGGTGCTCCCCTCCATCCCTGGGGTTCTGTGACAAAAGTGCCTGAATTTTCCCTAAAGAGGAAGAGTCAGCCCTGTGGTAACTAACTGGTAATTAACAGCGGGTCCCCTGTTTTCTGTTTTCCCTTCCAGGAGATCCCCTCCAAGCCTGTCATCCTCTCCACGCCCACTCCCACCATCGTGCGCCCCGGCTCGCTGCCCCTGCACCTGGGCTACGACCCCCTGCACCCCACATTGCCATCCCCCACCTCTGTCATCACCCAGGCCCCTCCCTCCAACAGACAGCTGGGGTGAGTACGGAGCAGGGGCAGGAATTACCCCCTGGATGAGTTCCCTGAGTGCCAGACCCACGGAGGTGCCGCCGGCCCCGCCGCAGCTGCGTGGGCATAAGGGCCTCGCTGGGCACTGTCTGCAGCAGCAGGATGGGATGGGAGTGCAGGAAACGGGAACTAATTGTGCTGGAGTAACGAGACGAGGCAAAACTCACTGTGGGGAGAGATGAAAACACTCCCTGAACACAAACACGCCGACACGGCTCCGGCTGTCGGCACCGGGCGCGGGCAGAGCCGGCGCTGCGGAATTGTCTGAGGCTGTAACGGCTCAGGGATTTTCCCAGACAGCTGTTGCCTCTCGAGTGTCACCTCTTGTGCCCAGCCAACCCTGCCTTGGGGGGGCTGTTTGCTCCTGCTCCTCCGGCCCTGCCCGTAAAGGAAGGAGCCTGAGGACGGAGGGAGCACATTGCTGAGCCCCTGGGAGATGCATGGTTAGCCCCCTGTCTGTTTGGTGTCAGGATGCTCCTGCTTCTCCTCCCTGGTCACTCCTGGTCAGGGCTGGCTCCCTGTGTTAACCAGCCCACTTTGTATTTTTGGGGCTGTCACTTCATGGTTTTATGTGTGTTTGCCTTTGACCCTCTGGCACCATCAATCCAGACGGCCTGGTGGAAAGTTTTAAATGCTGTCTTGAGGCATGAAGGGGTTAAGTGGTTGTCCTGGGGGTAGCTACAGGACACTGTAAGCCCCTCTGCAGGGCAGGCTGAGACTCTGGGGCTGTTTGGAGCTGTGTCCAGTAGGTTAGGCTTTAGTATGATTTGCTGTGCTCTTTGCAGCCCAGATCCCACCTGGAGACAGAGAGGTGGGGCTGCAGTGGTAACAAGGGTCCCTTCATTAGGGCCACTGCCAAGGTGGTGGGGCTGGTGTCAGCGTGACAGAGATGGAGGGGAGGCTGTGACCTCCCTGTAACTCGCCTGGTTGGGCTGGGATTTCCAAAGCAGCCTGGAGGATTTGGGACGCCCAATAGAAATGACTGAGAGTCGAGCGTTCGCGTTCCCAAGGCAGCCTTAAAAATTCCAGCCTGAGTTATTGGCAGGATGAACTTCCCCCTCTGACCCACGTCCCCTGCTCCTCCCACCATCCCCTGCTCCTCCCACCGTGCCAGCACAGCCTCCTCCCAGGATCCCAGGCAGCCCGGCCTCCTCCAGCCCCTTCCCCGGGCTTGGCAGAGGAGGCAGCAGCAGATTTATTTTACTCTCCCTCCCGCAAGGCCAGGCTCCCAGCTCGGCTCTGCCTCCACTTGGTTCCCCACAGCACTGACATGGCTGGAGGAGGAGGAGGAGCAGGAGATCAGGCCCTGTGGCAGGGATGGTTTCCTTCCTCTCCCCATCATCTGGAGCAGCTCCGGCTCTTCCTCTGCTCTCGTGGAAAGACTGAGTCTGGATGGTTGGAGCTGGAGCACAGTGGGGTTTGTGGTGGGATAGAGGCAGGGGGAACGTCCCTGCTTGGGGTGTGTCCCTGGGTGGGGTGTATCCCTGCCTTTCACTGCAGAAGGACCTACAATAGAAATATTTCCTGGTATTTTTAATTGGTCACAATTAGGCTCCAGCACAATCTCCTCCTCCCCAGCCTGCAGCGAACCGGGACGTCCCCAGTTCCCATCTCCCTGTGTAAACACAAGCCAGCCCAGCATCCACCCTGTTTTTAGGGGGTTTTCTCTGGAATCAGAAGTGCTTGTTAATGGGAAGCTGAATCCTTACAAAACCCCCTGTTGGGAGCTCAGCAGTGGACAGACCAGGAGGCTCCCTGTAGGCAGGAGCAGCTGCCCGGGCAGTGCCAGGCTCAGCCCAGGAGGAGCAGTTCCAGCAGTTCCAGCACATCCAGCCCTTGGATGTGTTTTTCTCTCCGTTCAGGTGGCCATCGTGGCTCAGGGCTTTGGCAGCCACAGTGTTTTGGGCAGCTGGGGTATGCCCAGGGCACATCCATGTGTCCCTGCCAGCCCTGGTCACCTCAGTGTGACACTGCCATGAGCGTGCAGGGCCATCGGGCATCACTGCCAGCCCTGGTCACCTCAGTGTGACACTGCCATGAGTGTGCAGGGCCATTGGGCATCACTGCCAGCCCTGGTCACCTCAGTGTG